ATAATTTCTCTTGTTTGACTATTAAGTGACCTCCCTTTTAATTCTATTCTCTTTGGAGCCATTACAACAATAAAAACACAATACTTATATGTAAATATAAATCACAAGGCACTATAATTATATAAAATTGTCACTTTTCGCACTCTATTTACTTCTATTCACTTTGTATATACTCGACCCAAGTTACGCCACTGAATGACTAAGTTTGGCTTCACCAAGCGTCGTTGCTAGGCAACAGCCAGTGCGCAACTTTTGTCGTCGCCATGCTGTATACCAATCTCATCTTGGCCCGGCTCTACGAGTAAAAGAACTATTATGACGTAAAGCGCGAATTCAAAGTGGCCACTGTTATAGTTTGGGTGGGACAGATTTGCAGCAGGCACGATGGTAATTTAGTTTGAACCTATACAGGACCGTTTTTATTTTTAAATGTTTAGTGGTCTGAAGAAACTGGGTTGAATTTGGCGGAGAACTATAAATTATATAAAAAAATGTGAAATCCGAAAGATATAGCATAGTTTAAAAAAGAAAAGAAGGTTGGCGCGTAGAATAAAATTGCGTTAATCCAAGGTAAATCTGCAAGTTTATTGTTGACCTATAGAAACGAAAAACCAAAGTAAAATCGGCTATGAAACGGTAATTATTAGTAATATTTATAAATAAATAAAAACTTAGTAATTATTATGCATATATTTAACATAAAACCGAACGGGATACGATTTTTTAATAGACCAGAAATGAAAACTGAATCATTATTTTATCTTAAATTAAATTTTCAGAACCCAACCGGAACCCCCTAATCTTGCAAACGTTTTTTTCGGTTTCGCAGTACCTATATAATATGGTTGCTTTTATCGTTGTCTGTATAAAAATAGTATGATAAAAACCAATCCAACATGATCTGAACTTCCGGCAGATTTAAAGCTCCAACATTTAATAGTGTACACATAGAAGTATATAATAAAAATGTTTGTTAAATATAAATCTCAATTATTATCAATTTTTCATAAAAAAAAGCATTATTTACATAAATTATATAAAAATCCGATTCTGAAACGTGAGCAGTCATAAGTCAAATTTGAAAATCTCACGTAGGCCATAATATTATGTAAGTACTATGAAACCGAAAATATTGAAAAATTAGGGGTACTGGTTCGGTTCTGAAAATTTAATAAGACATAAAATAATGGTTCAATTTCGGTTCAGGTCTATTAAAAAATATCAGTTTCCGTTCGGTTTACCCAGACAACCCACCAAATCCCAGAGATATCCACAGAATATCTTTTCTGGATATCCAATATATCCACAGGATATCATAAATATCCCGTGGATCTAATATGGATATCCAAATGTCCGTCTATGTCCAGGATATAGAAGATATCCTATGGATATCCAGCAAAATATCTAATGGGTATCTCCCAGACAATACACGAAATCCCAGAGATATCCACAGAATATCTTTTGTGGATATCCAATATATCCACAGGATATCATAGATATCCACTGGATCTAATATGGATATCCAAATGTCCGTCTATATCCAGGATATAGAAGAAATTCTATGGATATCCAGCAAAATATCTAATAGGTACCTTTAGTAGAGGTTCATAAGTAACCAATGGATATATCCTATAGATGTTTAACATATCCAGTGTACATCCATTATTTGATATATTTAAGATATCGAAAATTATATGTCGATAGGGTGTCGTATTTAATGCTTCATTAATTTTTTTTTTGAAAGAAGTATTGTTCCACTTATCTTTCAAAAAAAAAATTTAATGCGATGTCACAACATTGATTTCTTTTTTTAGCTATCGACATTATCTGCTAATCCTATATATTTGCACTTTGTTCATCGTGTATGATCCTGAGGTTTTCTCGCGAATTTTTAGAATATATTGGATAAGTGGTGCACATTTTGACAACTATCACTTCGTTCCACACAAATCCATTACATTTTTCAATATTAGAAAATTAATTTTCAGTTATAAGTATTAGAGGTTACTTTAAAAACCATAAATTATTAGTTTTCCCAATTTGCCAAACAATTGAAATGTATTGTGGTTGTCCAGCTTGGTAGTTTTAACTTTTTCCATTTGTTTCTATTTAACATTACTCGTACATAATATATTAGAACTATTGTTAATAAAGAGGTAAAATCGGTGACTTAAAAATAATTGCAAATTATTTTTATTTCCAAAAGAAAATCATCATTGCTATGTTTTTAAGTCATTGTAATACATAGTTAAACTAACAGATATAAATATACAAATTACCATTTTGTCTTTTTGAGGCGGAGATTGAAAGGGATAGATTTTTATTTTTAATTTTGATGTATTTCATTTGACGAGTCAATTATTCGATTTCCATCTCAAACGAAATGTTTCTTCTTACTAGTATTTGCAATTTAGATTTAAAAAAATATGGTGCTTGCACAAAAAATATTGTTGGTCAGTTAAAAAAAAATATAAATCATCTTTCAAGATTTTTGAAAATATGTTAACATGCGACGACGTCGACACTTCCACACATGGACCAGGACCATTTGCATCCCACTTAATTCTAAAAGTCATTTAATCAGTTTTTCCTATTGTAACAGGATACTACCCATTTCGATAAAGATGTGCTTTTAAAATTTTCATCAAAGTTGTATAAACGTCAAATCTTATTTTATTATATCTGCATATATGCACCTGTTATAACATTTTTTAAAGCAAGGTGTTTCTTTTTTTAAATGACTCTTAGTTAAGGGAAATACCTACGTAAAAGGTGGTATGAATGGCCCTAAATAATTATATAAGCTTTTTTTAAACGAGATTTAATAGTACTTTTTGTGCTATGTTAAAAGATCTCACTCAAATTTACTACCATGTTTTCAATAAACCTTCAACAAGTTTGTGAGTTGTTTTTTTTTTATTCCTTTTATCCTCGAGAATTTTAATTTAGGAGAAAACCGAATTGAAAGTATTAGACAGGGCCGCCGAGAGTCACACCGGGCCCCACGACAATTCTCCAGATCGGGCCCAGGACAATTCTCCAGATTGAGCCCCGCGACAATTTTATAAAAAATTAAATAACCAAAGGTCCTCAAGCAAAAATTTCTCCTCTACTTGAATTTCTCTAAAAAAAAGGTCCTCACGCAAAAATTTCTCCTCTACTTGAAGTTCTCAAAGTAACAAACACCACCGCTGCCGGGTCCCCCTTATACCACTGCCGGATCCCCATTTGAGCCCGGCCCCCGGGAATTAGTCCCGGCTGCACCCCCTCTAGTCGGCTCTGGTGTTAGATGACAAAGAGGTCAACTCAGGCGTCTTTTGATAAAGTATGGCATGGTGACTTAAAACGTAAACTGAACGTGCTATTTCCACAGTCATACTCAGAGATATTGTATTCCTAAACTTCAGATATGCCAGTATTCTTCTGAGTAAAACAAGATGAAGCATACTTTGAATTAAAAGTAGGGATACCACAGGAAATTAAGCGTCCTAGGACCCACTTTGTACCTGCTATACACTTGACATACCCAACTAAAACAATACTTACATTTGCAGATGTATGTATGTATGCGTGCGTACGTGGGTGTGATGTGTGTGTGGTGCTTATGTGTGTGGCGTGTGTGTATGTATCCGATAGCTCATGAACAGAGTCGTAACTAGACTTGTTGGCGCCTGTGGCAAATCACAAATTTTGCGCCTCTCCCAACCTAAATTAAAAAGCTGATTCAATATATATTTCATTTTAATAAAAACAGACGTAAGAACAAAAAAAACTAAAAATGTCCAATAAGTAATCTAAAAATAAAATAACTAAAAATATATTCTCTGAACAAAAACAAATATTTGGTTTTAATCACATAATGACATTAAATATACAACTTCAAATAGAACTTTTCTAGATTTAGATTTATAATCCCATCATAATTTAAATTAAACGCAGTCGATTTTTCAATAGGCCTTTTCATCATGTGATGAGCGCAAGCGCAGCAGCCATGTTAAAATGGCGGTAATTCAAAAGTTTCGTAGTACTGTTTTGATCGACAATTACTGGGAAAGCAATACTATCTCTACAGATAAATTAATTATTAGTAAAAATCGTTGATGGTGTTTAACTTTTTTATAACTTTGTGGAAGCACAAAGTTGTGGTCTTGGACGTTTGCAACAAGGTAAAAAGTGTTCTAATTAAGAGGTTAGGTGTATCAATACTTGTTTACTGTGTAAAAAATGAATGAAAACAAATAATAATCATAACTCTATTCTAATTATGACAACCAATAAGTACTTGAAAAACACTTTAATCAACATGAAAATTTTTCATGAGTATAATTAATAGAATTAATTATTTATTAGTTTGAGGATCAACATGGATCATTTTACTGTGTATACCAAAGTAGTATTTAATATTAAAAAATATTGTGTAATATCAGATAAGAATTTTCTTCTGTTGGACCACTTTCTCCATGAAAATGTAGTGAACAAATATAAATATCTTTAGTAATATCATCAATCGATCGAAAACTTTTTGCGCATTCTGAACATGTTTTAATATGTATTTTGCCTGATAATTATTGATAATTTTTTTCCGATATTTGTAGCCAAAGCGTTGGAAAATTTATAAAATAATATGTATTGCCTTTAAATGAATTATACCGTGTGTCACTTCTACATACTCCATGACAACACCGTTTCGTTTTCTTTTCCGTACAGATAACATAATTATAATTGACAGCAAAAATTTATTTTTAATTAAGACATTATTACATTATATTTTCTTCATTTTTTTGTATGAATATACCTACTTAAGTTAGTATTTATCGATAATAATTTTTTTTCACTTGGGCATTTTAACACGCTTGTTTACAAAAAAACAGTACTAAAAAGATGACTGATATTGACGCATGCGCACAAAATTAAAATGTGATGAAAAGGCCTATTGAAATTATAGACATATTTTTAATCGTTGTTGCCTTACAGAAGAACTCAGATATGACTTCACAAGCCTAAGTTTGCTGAACGAACGTTTGCACGTAGCAGTTATCACTGGGATGCTTAGGAATATTCTCAAGGCCATCTGTATGTTTGGATAAATATTTTCTACGGATAGGTTATAAATACCTTGCAAAATTTCCAAGAGACCCATTTTAATAAAATTTTCATACAGTGTTTTACCTTGGCATTTGAAGCTTTCTATTTCTGATGTAAATTCGTAAGCATTTAAGTCAGCAGGATACTTAAGTGCAAGATCTGTGGCTTGATTTTTTAATTCATCCAAAGTAGTTGTTTTGATAGAAACCCCGTTTAGGAATCCAAAATCATATGCTACCTCTTTTAAAGCCACAAGTCTTCCTTCCATTTGCGTGATGATTGTATCAAGAACCTGCAACAATCTAACTCTTAACTGCGTGGTGGAATCAAAAGAATGAGATTCATCACTTGCTTTCTCCTCAGGCGTTTTCTTTTTTTTTTTTTTATTTCGAGACTCCTGAAGGATTGGCTCAATGCCTATTTTCTCTCCCATTAGCTTTGAGGACTGAATCAGTGGTGTAATCATTTTATCTGTATGTTTTCATTTCGTCTAAGGCCCTAAATCATTCGAGCACCTTTAGACACATCATGCTGCTTTTCTTGCAAGGAAATGTTAATCATATTTATTATTTTCAAAAGAATGTTTCAGAACGTCAAGTAACAGATTAATTCAAATTTTCTTATTAACTTCAATAACGTCTTTGATTGCACAATCGTATCTCCAGTATTTTCTTACGATACTCTTCAAGAATGTCTACAACTTTTTCCAGCTGGGATTTTAAAGCATGGGCGGCGTTAGATTTTGATGACCAGCGTGTATCGCTTGTTCCTTTTAAAGACGTCTTAAGTTTGCTTTTCAACAGTCCCCAGCGGAAAAGTAATCCAACAAAAAAGTTATATATTTGTTGAACTGTTTCGAAAAAGGTTTGCATTTTTGGATTTATCTGAGCAGCATGAACTCCCACTAAATTAAGACTATAAGCAGTACAAGAAAGAAATCGAACATTATCATTCAGTAATAGAATTAGACCCTTGTACTAACCAGCTATATTCACGCAATATTCGTATGATTGCCCTCTGATGTTAGTTATATTCAATTTGTCAGCAATCAGTTTTTCCTCTATTTCTTTTGCAAGCCCTTCGCCAGTTTTCTCGTGGATATTGATGGAATCAATAAAACTCTCTTTAACAGTACACTTCCTGTTATAGTAAATATTAACGTAACGTATTATTTGAACTAATTGTTCCTGATGCGGCCCACTATCGTGCGCCCTTGTCCATCGTGCGCTCGTGGCAAATGCCACCTTTGCCACGCCCTAGCTACGGCTCTGCTCATGAACGATATAGAGAAAAACACCGGATTTTAAACTTGAGCTTTATTCCGGCCTGCTGTTGATTCAATTTTGGACAGAGTTTGAACATCTGTGGGATACTTTATGGGGAGTCATTTTTATATTTTATGGAATATGGGGTCTATTCTGTAACAATTCCTTTATATTTAACGGCCTTTAAAAATATTTTCTTCTTTACTTCTGTCATTATTTAAACGGATCTTTAAAATACATTAGAGGACTGACTATCTTAAAGAAATCTGTTTAAATAATGACAGAAGTAAATTAACGAATACGAACATATTTTTAAAGGCTGCCAATATTTTTAAAGGCCGTTAAATATATAGGAATTGTTACAGAATAGACCCCTATATCTGTTATTTACGTTTGGAGAAAAAAATCCTTTAAATAAAAGTTACTTATAATATTATTGTCTATAATTTTTGTCGTATACAAAATTTTCCTAAAATGGTCCGTATTCGTGAAATTTGAACAAATAAAAAAAATTAAATTTTTTAACAGAATTGTTCAAATAAAAGTTATTATTTCTCTATAATTCATATATTGTCATATACATAATTTCTCTAAAATGTACCGTATTGGATGTTCAGATTCCCTGAACAAAGTAACAATCATTTTCCATCTCATTTCACACTTGTATTTTTATTTATAAAAACATTACTCATGGTGACATCTACCCAGCAAAGAAGAGGGTGCATGTGGTTGTAACTTAAAATGTATGTGTGACGAAGTTTGGATTTATAAAACTATAACTGTATATAATAAACGCATGTAAATAACTAAACAGTGCCGTCCTATGTTATTGTGTACTTCAAGTTGTGACTCCTCGACCGACATATAATTGGATCTGCGAATTCTATGGAGAAGTACTCCATTTTTTAGTTAAACCATTTTGAAAGGTTGACTCCCTCTGTAAGAGCGTCACGTAGCCAGTGGCGCCCCTACATTGGATATTTGAGAAAGTGTAAATTTCGAATTTTGATGAAAACTCAGAAACGGATATAGAGAAAAACAACAAATTTTAAACTTAAGCATTATTCCGGCCTGAGGTGAACTAATAAGATTTTGGCCAGTCTAAAAATCTGGGTGGGGGGGTACTTTATAGGTAGTCGTTTTTATATTTTATGGAATTTGTCTAAATTTACGTTTGGAGAAGAAAATATTTCAACTAAAAGTTACTTCTAATATTAATCTCTATAATTTTTGTTCTATACAATAAATTTTCCCAAAATGTTAAAAATTCAAATTTTTAAGAAAATTATTCAAATGAAAGTTGTTTGTCATACAAAATAACCGTGTTGGACGCATTACTTTTTTTAATTATAAGTATAATTTTTGAAAATCAATTTTGAATTATTCAGTGTGTATATTCATTAATTCTTTTTATATATCCTATACTTGTTGGAATTTTATTTAGTTAATATTAATTTTAGTACTATAAAAAATAAATTTATTGATTAATTTATTAATTGTTGGAAATTATAAAATAATAATTATTTGAAAATTTAACTTATATTTCTTGTATAGCCATCGTGAAACAGAATTTATTTTTTGTTTAGAGAACGAATATATGGCAGTCTAAGGGTCGATTTCTGATTTTCGATTTCCAACTGTCAAAGCTTAACCTTGTTGTAACCATAATACATCAAGGACATTATTAGTCATCTCGTTGGGTTGACTTGCAGAGGATCAACGTCCAGATTCCCATTTCTGTATCTTGGTGTAGATCTTGTAATGCCAACCGAGGAGATTGTGGTTTTATTTTGCCTTGCTAGCGAAATCACAGACGCCAACTGGTAAAAATATCTTCTGCGATGGTCAAATGTTTTGGAAAAAAATTATTGGATAATTTTTAGTGTTTGTAAATGCATATAAGTTCACTTGTTTCTTGATTTGGATTTATAATGTGACCAGGGCCGGATTTACCATTACAGCGCCCCTAGGCCCGAATAAATTTGGCGCTCCCCCCCCCCCCCCCCCCCCCATCATACACTGATGATTTTGTTGTCTGAAATAAAATTTATTCAAATGAATACTTGTTAACAGCGAACTAATCATTTATTTAAAGGAAATTCTTTGGATTATTTATAATATTAAATATTAATAACCTTTTCCAATTTTGTTTTTTTGTTAGCATTACAAGTTTCGCCCCTTAATGTTAACACAAAACAGAATTGGAAAAGGTAAATAATATTTAATATTACAAGTAACCTCAATCGAGTGGATGTTTAAAAAATCTCAGGAGTGGTGGGAAAACTCACCAGGACAGAGACAGGCCAAAAAGTTCTTAAAAGGACCATCGTCTAAACTCACCGAGCATCTACTAAGCCTTAATAGGAAAAATACTAGAATACTAGTAGGTCTATTAACAGGGCATTGTAGGCTTAACAAACATATGTTCAATATCGGTCTGACAGAAGAGGCCTTGTGCCGATTCTGTCAAGAAGAAGAGGAAACGGCAGAACACGTATTGTTCTACTGCGAAGGTCTAGTAAGACTGAGATTCCTTACACTTGGAGAAGAAAAACCAAGGGCAACTAGCTATACCGGAGAACTACTTTCCAGTCTATGGAGTTTACTACAAAAGACCGCATTAGACAAGGTACTCTAAACAATGATTAAAGGATATCCACAATAGATCTGAAAAGGTCGAGGTGGGGGAGGCCACATGGCCCATAGTCCTAATTAAATCTAACCTCAATCGAATTCAGGGCCAATCAAATGAAAATAATAATTCTTTGAGCCAAGTGGAGAAATAAAAACTACAACTATATAATACATAAAATGTGAACAATACAGATATATAAAACCTTCTTGCTTTCTTTCGCGCAAATTTTTCTACCGTTGGAAGTAGTCTCCCCTCGATGCATGGCGAGCAGGGCTAGTGATGTCAAACTGTCGTGGCTAGTTGTGAATCTCAGGTAGTTCTTCACACGACGAAGGGTGAAAAAAGATCTTTCTGCTAAACAGTTAGTGGCTGGAGCACTAAGAACCATTCTTAACGCAATGGCAATGTTAGGGTAGACTTCAACCATGTCAAAATTATACAAAACCTTGCTAATTTCAGTCATACTCGTTCTGGTATTTTCGTTTTCAGTTTTTCAACAAAAATGCTTTTATGTAAACACTCGTCCACAACAACAGGCTCAAGATCTTCATGATACGCACTCGATAGTTTTCTTGCACATTTGGTGATATCAGATGTCTCAAGACTTTTGATAGTTTCAAGAAAATCAAACCTATTGTGAAGATCAGAATATATATTTACACTCACGTTTTTTAATTTCAGAGTATAGGGAGTCCAATATGCAGTTAAAAGTATTAACACGGAAGTTTTCCGACCCTGTAAATTGATCATCACTGCTAGGACCACCATATTCACCAAACTTAGTAGGTACCTTTCTTTTGCGCCGATTATTAGCCATATACTCTTTCCTACACTTCTCATTCGCTGATCGTTCCAGGTCATCAAAGTTGTTCCTTACTTCTTGAAGAAAGCCACACAAAGAGTCGTATTAGGCAACTATTTTCCCTAGCTCTGTGATTTCGTACTGTAGCTTTACATTTACTTTATTAAACCTTTCCAGAATTGAGCCCCACAGTGCTGCCATAATGGTTGTCTCTAGGGAACTTAGCTTTTCATTTATAGTCCTGGCTTCATTTCTTGTGGAGTGCCTCTCGTCACAGTCACTATACTCTGTTTTTAAACTAAGAGGAGCGATTTGAATTTAAGTTGGCAATTCTGTAGCCTTCTGATTGGTCAGATTACAGTCAGTTTCACACATTACTTTTTAGCATGAACACCAGCTAATAATTGATATTTTTGACAGTTCTGACATTTTATAATTTGATATCTCATCCATTACTTAGTTTTTTACTTTATTTCGTAAATAATAGTTCTTCAGTAAGCAATTGTATTGAAAATCTACAATTATGGATCCTTCTACACTGAGTACTATTAAAGGTAGCAATTCCTGAAAAGCCTTACAAGAAAGGGAAGACACCTTATTATTTTACATGCTGATTCTGAAGGTTTTGTAGAAAATGCATTATTGGTTTTTGAAGGTAAAAAGATGGGAGATTACCATGAAGAGATGAATTCCGAAGTATTTTAGAAAAACATAATTTTATTACTGATTTTTTAAAACTAAAAATTGATGAATTTCTAACCAAA